ACTTTGGAAAAAAAGCAGTATTATACTAATATCTGTTAGTGTCACTATGGCTGTATTTTCATGTACTGTGCAGGATATTAAATTACAGCAATGAGGCTCTACAGGAGGAAGCAGCATTGGTAGATGTGGCATATGCATATAGCTTTGTTCACAGTTTCCCTGTTTATGTGTTCACATTTTAAAATGCTGCATATTCAAGGAATATGTTGCACACAAATTGTGCTTCTAGGCATTGTGTCTGTTTTGTTTCTACAGTTCCTTAGATTTAAAGATGCCTGAATATCAACAATATTTGTACTATTGAGAGTTGATCTTTTCACTTCTTGGTATCCTGTGTTATATCCTTCTCTTTGATGTATAACATCCCATTTAGCTGCTATAGAGATGACATGGTCTCACTGTACTCCATATGGAGTAAGTAGGTGAGGACTGAGTAGTAACTGTTACTGTGTTGATATCTTCTGTGATTTTAAAACATGGTAGAGAACAAAACAGAAAATCTGAATTGTTTTCAAGAACGTTTCTACGGCTTTCCATGAGACGCCAGTGGATTCCTAATGAGTAAAACATGTCAATGTGTTTTTGTAAGATTCCACTAGTAACAGAAAAAGGACACACTCTGTTCAGAAGTTACTATGGCTTTTAAAGATCTTTATTTGTAATTTTCAGCTGAGTGTTATTCACCTGTTGGTCCTGAATTGCATAGTTCTTCTGGTTTATAGGCAATCAAACCTTCACTGTGCTATATTGCAGGGACAGAGAGGTGATTCTGCCCCTCTGCTCTGGTGAGACCCCACCTGGAATACTGTGTACAGTTCTCATGCCTTCAGCACAAGGAAAATATAGACCTGTTGGATCACCAAGATGATCAAAGGACTGGAGCACCTCTGCTATGAAGACAGGCTGAGAGAGCTGGGGCTGTTCAGCCCAGAGAAGAGAAGGCTCCAAGGAGACTTTGTAGCACATTCCAACACTTGAAAGGGGCCTACAGGAAAGCTGGGGAGGGGCTTTTCATCAGAGAAGATAGTGATAGGACAAGGGGTAATGGTTTTAAACTGAGAGAGAGGAGATTTAGGTTAGATATTAGGAAGAGATTCTTCACTATAAGGGTGATAAGGAACTGGAATGGGTTGCCCAGGGGGATTGTTGATGCCCCATCCCTGGAGGTTTTTGAAGCCAGGCTGGATGAGGTTTTGTGCAACCTGATCTGGTGGTTCCCTGCTCATGGCAGGGGGCTTGGAACTTGATGATCTTTAAGGTCCCTTCCAACTTTAATGAACCTATGATATTGACAGCCCTGGCTTCAGGACTAGTGGGACAGGAATCTCAGTAACTCACAGTTGAGGTTTCTTCAAACTTATCTGGCACTTCTCAGTTTCCTTTTGTACAGTTTGACAAACTTCATTCCATTCCTGCATTTTCATGTTAGGAGCGTTCTGTGATAGGAGGGCTTAAAGAAATACCTATGGACAATGTAAAGATAATTTTTGTGTTAGGAAGTTCAATTTGAAATATATGGGGGAAAGGAATCCAGTATGCTGCAAACAAAAGTAATAAGAAAGTGGAGAAATTGTTGGGTAAGCAAAGTTACAGCTGGGTATCTGCTGGACTTTCAAGTAATGGACCTGGCCTAGAGAAGGTATATGGAACCATTCTGGAATTGCAAATTATGCTTTTAGTCCTGTTGTGCTTTTTCTGGAATACAGTTCTCAAGGTTTATCTGTCTAGAGTGTAATAAAATCTGCAGACTACAAATGGTAACCTTTTGTATTTTTCACTTTGGAAAAAAAGCAGTATTATACTAATATCTGTTAGTGTCACTATGGCTGTATTTTCATGTACTGTGCAGGATATTAAATTACAGCAATGAGGCTCTACAGGAGGAAGCAGCATTGGTAGATGTGGCATATGCATATAGCTTTGTTCACAGTTTCCCTGTTTATGTGTTCACATTTTAAAATGCTGCATATTCAAGGAATATGTTGCACACAAATTGTGCTTCTAGGCATTGTGTCTGTTTTGTTTCTACAGTTCCTTAGATTTAAAGATGCCTGAATATCAACAATATTTGTACTATTGAGAGTTGATCTTTTCACTTCTTGGTATCCTGTGTTATATCCTTCTCTTTGATGTATAACATCCCATTTAGCTGCTATAGAGATGACATGGTCTCACTGTACTCCATATGGAGTAAGTAGGTGAGGACTGAGTAGTAACTGTTACTGTGTTGATATCTTCTGTGATTTTAAAACATGGTAGAGAACAAAACAGAAAATCTGAATTGTTTTCAAGAACGTTTCTACGGCTTTCCATGAGACGCCAGTGGATTCCTAATGAGTAAAACATGTCAATGTGTTTTTGTAAGATTCCACTAGTAACAGAAAAAGGACACACTCTGTTCAGAAGTTACTATGGCTTTTTTTCCTTCAAAAAAGTTTTTGTGCCTGTCAGCCTTTCTGGAAGAAAGAAAGGCAAAGGGAGTCTAGTAGCAAGGAAACCAATCTGGAGGCAAGCATCCATTTACCTGTCCTGCTGTAAGGCTCTTGTGAGTTCTGGCTCAGTGTGTGTGCTCTTCTGTTCCTCACTTATGTCTTTTGCCAGGGTGGGGGAGAGAATAGTGAAGAATTGGCTACTCTAAAATGGTAGTGCTCTCAGATACTACAGTAAGAAGGGCCTTGGAGAGCTGGAGACATTTTGGCCATAAGATGTCCCTAGACCTAGGAAAAGACCTGATACGGAGACAAGAATGCAGGACTGCCAGCTCCCATCTGTTCAATGCCGTTGGCTAAAATCCCTTCTTCTACAGCTATACTTGATGTAGGAAGTTACAAAATGCCAAAAAAGTTGAATATATAACATGACAGTGCTGAAAAAATGTTTTCACAAGCTGGTGTCATGTTATTTTGCTCTTGGAGATAAGTATTTTTGGAAGTTTTCTGTCACTGTGTTTTACAGCCTTTATTTGCTCTATTGTTATTTTTAGTCATCTTTTTTTGTGAGTAGCCATTTACCATTCAGCTTCCTATTTCTTCAAAGTTATAGCTGCTTAGTTAACTTAGCCAAAAAACTTATCTCAATAAAAGTTTCTCCTAACAATAAATTAAAACCTTTTTAATTTTCCTGGCAATTTCCTTTTGCTTCTCTTTTTATTTTTATTCAGTTCTTTGTTTTGTTCAGTAAATATTGACTTGGAGTTCCACAATATGGCAGATGGAATAAAATTAAAATGTTTTGTCATCAGTTTAACATAGCAGCATCTAAGGAGGTCATCCTGGCTATTATTTACCTTAAGGCAGGCTTAGTACATCAGGAGTCAGGGAAGAAAAAGGTTTAATTTTAAATTTCTAATAAAAAAGAATAATAGAGCTTTTAAAAATTTCTACTGTCAGAGGCTTTGCCTAAGCTGTGGGACCTGACCCTTTAGTGTCTTTGTCACTTTGCGGGCTGGTTTCTGTGTGAAGGAAGTGAAGTTGTGCTGCCCTGAGTGGTACTGAAGCACAGTACAGTACAGCAGCATCTCTGATCTGGGTGCTTGCAAGGAGAGCAAGGCTGGTGCTGAGCACACCTGCCTGGCTGCTCAGGTCTAGCCCTTGAAATTGGTGAGAATTCTGTCACCAACATATACGGAAGTCTGAGTGTGTCCTTTATTCTTTGCAGTGAATGCAATCGAATGCATGCTCCTCTGATTAAGTGGCATGGCTGCTTCATGCTCAGGGAAGAACATTTAATGTTCAATTATAATTTTTCTACCTGTTTTTTGTCTGTCTGTTTCCTGAGACTGTCCCTAAAGAGCAAGGCAAGGAGCTGTCTTATGCCATTGTTGGTTAAGCTAGAAATGCTTCTGTGAGTGGGAATTAAAACAGGTTGGTTGCATTCAAGCAGTATGACAGTGAAATCCCACCAGTCCCTGTATGCTAAAGCAATTTATCTAGGCAGTGATAATAATAATTTCCTGGTACTATAGTGTAGTCAAATTGATTTTCTCAAAATATGGGGTAGAAATCACCTCTGTAGTTGCATAATGAAGCTGAAGAACACATTGTCACTGCTGTCTTTCAAAGTGAAGTAATCAACCCCTATCTCCACCCTACTCCCCCTTCTCTGCAGCTTCCTAAGGAAAGAAAACAGCCTGTTTGTGATGGAAGACTGATCCTTGTGCAGCTGTTAAGATCTCACAAAATGTGGTTTTCTAACCTTTGTTAGCTAAGCTTGTGGCCTTTCCTAAAAAGATTGTTGGCTGACAAATTTACAGCGACCTGGTCTGTGTATAGAATTCTAATTTGGAAACTAATGGCTAAACCATAAGGGGAAAATCTGCGCTATTTATTGGGGAATTTACAAGTACCACCTTCCTACATATTACGTATTTTTCCTCCTTTCTCTGTTCTTTCATTAGTGATTCCCTATATTCATCTAATTACATGAATTACCTGCAAGCCATCTTATTTAAACATGTCCCAGTTTTCTTGCTGTGATGGCAAACATAAGAGATTTGGCTGGTTTGTTTAAAATACTTGATTATCATAGTTTTCTTTCCCCACTTACTGATGATATCTGAAAGCTAAAGCAGGTAGATAAAGCACTGAGAGGGCTTGCCTTGGAAAAAAATGCATAATTAATTATTTTTATATTTATTAGTGACAGCAGCAATCAATCACAAGATGTGTGCTTTTGTTGGTGTGTCTTACATACTTGTCCTCTGCATTACAACAAGACTTGTTTTCCTTAAAGTGCTCCATTTTGTCAAAAGCTGGAAAATTGATTTTAAGTGGTTTCATGGTGCTTTCAGATGATTCTTATTTCCAGACCTATGCTGTAGAATCATAAGATATTTTTAAGTACTCCGTGTAATTATTAAGCAAGTACCTGTCCTATAAACTCTCATGTCCAAAATGATTACCAAGTCATTTCTGATCCCAAAGAATTTTTAATTTAAATGCTGTATGCATGATACAGAGTAGTAAAATGCTAGTTTTACAATGTAGTGCTCTTTCTTCTAGGAACGTTTACAAGGATTACCGTTTCCTTGAGCTAGCCTGTGACTCCCAGGAGGAGGTGGATAGCTGGAAGGCATCTCTGCTACGAGCCGGTGTCTATCCTGATAAATCCTCAGTAAGTTAAACAGCTCTCTAGTTTTCCAGTAGCTGCTCTGTTTGAGTCAGAAAAAAGAATTGTATCACCTGGGAAAACATGATGATTTGTAGATATCTCGAGATATCTACAGCCTTTTCATTGTACTCCTCTGTGGTAATTTTGAAATACTGAAAATATTGAAGTATTTTAAGATCAATTTGTGTGGCAAACCTCAATATTAAACAGAAACAAAAACCCAACAAAAACACACAAAAACCTTCCAACTCAAACCAAATATTCCAAAATGGTTTCCATTGGATCTGTGTAGTAAAAGTGTTGAGCAATTTGGAATTTCCTGTGTTTCATTGTTTCTGTTAATGTCTTCGAAGGTAAAGATGTGCTTTGAAGAGTTTATTCCCTCCAGCTCTGCATTACAGAACTGGCAGAAGCATTCTAGGCAATCATGTATATTTATTTTACAGATTCACTGTGTGTTTTTTTGTGTGTGAAACACATGCTAAACCTTTCCAAAGGCAGTTTTACTTAGAAAATCATCATGTAAAGCAAATTGAGCAACATATAGTAAAAAAGACTCTATATAATTTAACAGAAAAGACGAAGTTGGGGAACAGAATATGCCCAACTATCATTTCATATTTTCAGTTCTTTGTTATTTTGATATTTAATGTTGAGTGAAGGTTTAAGGGGATGTATCCAGAGAGAAGGCTAACTTCAGAAAAAATACCTGTCATTTGAGCTTTTGAAAGTCCCTCTCATGCATGGCTCTCCTTTTCTTCAGTAAGTCTGTTGGTCCACTAGATTCCTTCAGTGGAAGATCTGTTCTGAGAAATGCTGCTTTGATTTTGATGGAACTTGTTCATTTTCCTGCTTGTTTTCTGTGGGAAGGCCACATCCCTTGAGTCCAGGGTCTGGTGCTGTCTTCTCTTTTCTTCATCTTTCTCTTTCTCATATTTGCCTTATATTTGTAATACCTGCATGGCTTCCAGTACAATTCTGTGTGCATCTCCTCTGGTTGCTATTTATGCACACAAACAAGCCTTAGCTTCCTCTTTTCATACCAAGTTTCAAGGCTACCCTCAAAAAATAAATCAGACAATCCTTGAGCTTCTGGATTCCCCAGTTATTGTAGGAATAAACAGTGGTGACGACAATGATTTTTAAAAATAGGTCAAATATTAATTTAGCAGGAGATTTACCAGATATGTGAGACTTTAGTGTTGTTTTTTTTTTTAATTCAATTTTATTGGCTCTTCTGTATGTTTTCTGTCCCCACTAAATCAGTTTGTACCTAATACCATCAGAATTAATTTTACAGTTATTAGTTTCAAGTGTTTATCTCATTACTGGGATCAAAATAGTGTATTGTGTTGTTTTCTTGCTCAGGTTTTAATAATTATGTCAAAGAGCATGTTTCTGCCTCTGGTTTAACCTTGCATTCTGTTTACTGTATTCATATATCTGGTACTTTATCTTTAAACAAGACAGTCTAGTTGGATTGCTAAATTTCTTCTCTGTCTCCCTGTCTCTCTCTTCCCCATAAAAATATTTTGTGTTTAAAATATGTTTACAAAGAGTTCTTCTTTTTGTTTAAAGTTAGTCTGTCAAGGGAGTCATAGGCACAAGATGAGAGACTTCCTTGAAAGACAAAATTAGAAAGGAGTAAAAATTCAGTTCTTTGAGCTGCAATTACCTTTGCATTACCAAAAGAGTTAATATTATTGTCCCAAATTCCTGCAGCTTGAAATTCACCCAGTAGTGTATCAAGCTGTTTAGGAATGATACTTGATGCTACTCTAGTCTTGCAAAGCACTTTGTTCCTATCAGACTAGAGGTCCAAATATGGACTGCAAGTATGGTGTTAAAAGTTTGAATTTTGCAAAGCTGAAGCTCCAAGGCCCAGGGTACCTTAGAAGCTCTGGTGGAACTTCAATAAAATTCAGCAGCATTTCATTAATATCCTATGCATACTCCTCAGTTTCACACCTTCCTCAGACAATATAAAATAGCTTTTGAGACAACCTCCACCAGTCTTTTATTCTCCTTTGAAGATTTAGAGAGCATGTCTTTATGTTAAGAGAGACTGCCAGGAAATGGCAGCAGCTTATGTTTGCATCAGAGCTTCCCCACAGCTTTGCAATCCTAATGTTAAGAAGGCACAGAGGTACCCTCACCCCTTCCTGACTGACCTGCTTGCTCTTTCATGTGCGAGTCGCAGCTGGTAACGTTGAGTGTCCAAGGCGTTGGCACCAAGAGCAGAAAAATTGCTGCTTAGGAATGAAAAACAGACTAACACTGCTGTAAACCTGCAGTACTGGAGTGGTGAAACTGGCCTGCTTTCTGTAACTGCCAGAGCAGCATGCACAGCCTGGGATTTGAAAGCTAAGCTGTGTGCTTTCATTAACAGTTCTGTGCTCGCACACAAGGACGCTGATATATAAAATCCAACACAGTTGCCCCTAGCTGGGTTGCTTCTGCAGTGGCAGGAAAAGTAGGAATTTGTCACTGAATTTAAGAGATTTGTTATGAATTCTCACCAGGGGCAAATCTCTCAACTGAGAATATTTATCTTTCTGTTGGTTTTTCAATAGTGCTGCTTAAAATTGTGTGATTGCAATGGTAATGAGACTCAGTACTTACTACCACTAATATGAAGTCTCTATTAATGATTTAGTCCTGTAAGATAGGTTCAAAGTTGTTGATATTTAATTATTCTTTTTTTGCCTAAACAAATCTCATTAATATATTACAAATTAAAGGCCAGAGATCATCCCATTTCTCCATTTCCTCCCTTCATTTTGCCTGCCTTCTCTGGCCCCCTGCACACGGGGATGCACAGTCACATTCATATATTCACTGTCTTGTTAATGATCTTTAAACACGCTCATTGTTGCTCTGTGAGCCCCCAAATTTTTCTGCAGTTTGCCAAATCACCTCCTTCCCCCAGGAGATTTGCTTTTGTCAGGACAGAGGTTTTCACAGCCACCCAGATAGCAATGAATCAGTGTTTTTATTTTTCCAACCCATGTGCAAATCAGCTTGCTTGATATAAATCACACTGGTGCCAGTTCACTTTGAAATGGGATATCCATCTACCAGCTGACTTTACTGCTGGGTTTCTCAACTGATGCATCCAAAGACCTCCTTTTTTGAAAAAATGACTAAAACTTTGTGACTAACCTTCCAGACTGTATTTCTCAACTGTAGGCTGGTGTTTATCTTGGCTGACTTCCCACTGTATAATACACACTGTTCATGCCAGCTCATGGCAAAACTCACAATTAAAAAAAAAATAGTAGCACAGATGTTTGTCGTAATGTGCTCTCCAAAATTTACCTTCCTGACACTGTCCATTCCTTTTCCTCTCTCCCCATCTCTTTTTTATTTTTATTACTAATCTAAAAGTTCAATATTTGCTTTTTAAAAAGCGTTGGATCGTGAAACTTTCCACTCACTGGCATGTCGTAGGGAGGGGCTGTCATGCAAGGTAAGCAGACATGTTTAGTGGGTTGCTTTGTGCACTGAAGTTCAGTGTTACCAATGCACAAAAATCCCTCTGGCTTCCATCCCATCCCTCGATTATTTCAGACCTCATTTTTTTCTCCGTTGCATTGGTGTCCACTGAATTCCCAAGAGCTGCTCCTGACTTACACTCAAAGAAACAAAAGTGGAATCAGAATGTTTGTGTTGAGAGGAAATTTTGGAAAATAGTGTGAATTTACAACTTTGTTGAACATTTTGAATCCTTTGTGTTTGTCCTGTGATCCCCTGGAAGCTGTGTAACTAGTGGATTCAGTGACTGTTCTTTGAGTCAGTTCCTCATTTGGTTTGAGCTGTTTCCAGAACTGTGTGAGTTAGACTGAATGCATGTAAAGTAAATTTATCTAATACTTCTTTTTCCCCCCCTCTTTCCTCCTTGCTGCATCCTGCAAAGGGGAACAACAGAGTAAGTTGTTTGTCCTTTTACCAAATGCTTTTCTACACTGTCTGAAGGATTTTATCAGGAAGATTGGTTTCTCTTTTGGTTCACACAACTATTGCCTGCATTCTAAAAAAAAACAACCAGCAAACTGCTATTACAAATGTGGGTGCAAAAGTATCTTCTAGAAAACTATTCAGAGTTCTTTGTTTTAATTTTGGGGAAGGAGATGTGTTAAGTGTTGCTGAGTGTTGTTTTTTTTAAGGC